TTCCTTCGAGGCTCACTAGAGAAAAGAGGATAAATTCTGAAAAGTATGAGGCCTAGCAGAGGACCCAGTGTTCCAGAAGAATGCAAATAAAGCCCCCAGAGGTGCAACTGGAAGAGTTCTTCTCTACCCGCACAATTAAGTGGATGCGGGGTGTGACAATTGCAGTAAGCACTGAAAAGCATCTGGCCAAAAGGTCCCATGATTGCAAAAATCAGAGGAACTGGAATTTTCATAGGTTTAAAACTCAGGCCAGGTGTAGGTGATGTGTTTAAATTTATGGGCTTTTGGGGAGAAGATGATCTGCTGAAGTTCCTCAACCCTAATTGAGCTTGTTTCTAAATCCAAAAATAGTGATTTGGTGGGGGAAATAACACAAAAGCAAATGTACCAAGAAAACCCCTCAGAATTTTAATCAGAGAAGTAAAACCTTATTAGCCTTTGGTACATACTATTTTAAAACGCTGCATCTACCTCTTGTGCTATGCTTCACTTACTCTATGCTCTTTAGGAAAGAGATTCTTGAAAATGCCCCCATCAACAGCTTCTAAACACCATGCAAAGCCTTCCCACCCACCACTCCCCATCCTTTCTCACTTCCAGGACCTTAAAATGGACTCACTTGATAGCCGGAGGCTCTGGGGACCAGAAATGTGCTCAAATGTTTAACTTTTATTCAAGAGATTCAAGATTGACTAGCAGAAAAAATCCAGGCAAAGCCTGGGTGTCAGAAGTCTGGACTCTCCCTGTTAACATGATCCCTAGCCTCTGCAAGGCTGGGACACTGAGACTTCATTTGCATTCTGGCTCTGCTACTAACTTGCCGTGTGATTGTGGAAAACTCACTTCTCTGGGGCTCTGATTCTCCATTTGTGAAACGAAGGATTTGGACTGGAGATCCACACATTTCTTTTTAGCATAAAAGACCCACGATTACCAGTGACCTGTTCAAGCCTCGTTTTCCTCAACTTTAAAGCAGGCAGAGTGATTACTGTTTCTCTTCTTCTTAGGGAGTGGGTAAAAGTCCTCAATATGCCTTAAAACACAACACAAATGTCAGCTATCATCATTATTAATAGGATTCTTTATTCAGCTCTCTCTCCAGAGCATGTTTCATGTCTTTTGCCATTTGTGTAAAGAGCAATTCAGTGCCTTACAGGATGCCTAAGATTCAGTCCTTGGTTTGGTGAAGGCATGATGTCAGCTCAGGTAGATGAAATTGTTGCAAATGACAGCAGCATTTGAAAATTCTTCGGAAGGAAGTGGGCTAAGCCCTGTTTCAGTTCCCAGAGAGAGATCTTATTCTCTCTTGATCTTATTCAAGGGTCATGAACAGTGCTTACTAAGGAACTTGTGTTCTCAAATATGGCTTTGCCTAAAGAATGAAAAGGCCTTGGAAAGTTCCAAGGACAATAACAGTAATTTGAGATGCTTATCTTTTGCCTAGCATCTGTGCATTTCCAAGTAATTTATCCACATTAACTCATTAGCACTCCCAACCCTACAGGAGCTTTCTTTGCTTTTGCCTTTGGATTGGAGGGAGGTGACATTTTCTGAGCTTTGCATTCAGAGAAGGCCCCTGGGTTGAGAGTGACAGTCCCTCTGCCCACATCTGGTGGAATTATCCCTTGCCACATCTGGTGGAATTATCCCCTGCCACCAGTGGCAAACCCTCTCATCTCTTGTCCCTTACTACCAGGACTCTGGTGGTGCCATTGCAGTGCCTTGCCTAGCATTGCACAGTGTCAGAACTCAAATGGCTGCTGAAGGACTCCTTGCAGGAGCCAACTCCTTTTACAGTGCAAGAAACTGAAGTATTCAATTGACCCAGAGAGGGGAAGTGAAATGCCTGAAGCAACAGTTAGTTAGGAACAAAATAACCTGTCTTTGGAAGCAAAAACTCAAAACTATCCTCCACCTTCACCCACAAACACCTTAACAAACTAAACATTCTTTGTGTCCCTCTCAGCATCTCCATAGTGCTTAATCCTGAGGGGTACTAGGCACAGGGAAGATATTTCTGTCTGTCTATCTGATCACAATGCGAGTTTCCATTGTCACCTCTAAACAGCTGCCTCAACCCAGACAACACTGGTGGCCCTTCCTCTCCTAAACTAGAACAGGTCATTCTTAAGGGAAATGGAAGTTGTAATTCCAATGTTTTGCATAGAATGAGTGAAGGGGAAGGGCTCTCTCACTTTCTCTCATCCAGCAGCTAAATAACATAAACTCATAGGCACAGGGCTTTAGGAAACAGAGTCAATTTGTGAGCAATTGTAATGTGAAATGAAAATGTACATTGTGGCTCAGAAGCCTGGGCAGCTCTATGCTTTGGTCATTACCTACCCTACAGTAATTCCTTTGCCAAGAACACAGTTGAATAAGCTCTGTGCTTTTCCCGGAACAGGCATAAAATAAATATTTGTGGATTAATGTGGTGGGCAAACATTCTCCATACTTGGATACTTTTCCATTTTCCAGCTTATTCATTTTATATTTCTTTTTTAATGTTCAGCAAAGGTGCAGCTGGAAGGAATATTGGTGATGGCAGCTGTCATCTATATTTTCCAAACTGGTTTCTAAATAACACTGATTCTGGGTATTTAAAATAAAAGGTTCTATGTTTAAATCAGTTTGGAGAATATTACTTAGCTTCCTACTCTGGTTCTCCAAGACTCTCAAGGCAAATGAGCTTATTAAAGAAACTGAGAAGAGCTGAGGGAAAGAAAGTTTTAACTTCATTAAAACAATTTCTTTCTAAGCAGTGTTGATAATGGAGCAGTCCTCTCCATATTTTTCATATCTGTTAAAGTTCCACAAAATTCATATTTTTTGGAAAATGCCTTGGGAACTACTAATCAAACCCAATTTCTAAATTTTACTGGTGAAAAAAACAGAGGTCCGGAGAGGGGCTGAACTTCTTACAGGTAGTTAGTGGGAGAGCTAGGACTAGAACCTCATTTTCTGAATGCCTGGTCCAAACTGGTCAACCATACCCAACTAGAAGGGCATTCCTTAAGGTGGTTGCTGAAATGCCAGGCATCATGTGTAGTCTTTGAGATGATGGGTAAAAAGAATGTGAACATTTTACTCCATAATGGGTTCTTTTGGGGGGTAATTTGCTAAAAGATAGAGGTTGTTTTAGGTACTTTTAAAAGTGGGTAATTGTATCTCACTCATTTGTTATTGTATAAATCTTGGAGTCCCTGCCCATTGCAGCCTGGATAGACTACAGGTGTTTAATACATGAGTAAATGAAAGAACCTAGCAGGGGTCAGAGGAGGTCGGAGGCAGGAAGGAAGAAAGGGCCAGGAACTGAAAAGAAGTGAGAAAAGGAAAAAGGTGGAGAAAGAGAGGGATGGATGAAAAGAAGGAACAGCAGTCACTGATCAGCGGAGGATAGTTGAGCAGCGGAGGATAGTTGAGCCCTCGCAACGAAAGGAGACAGCTGCAGGTGACTGAGAAACAAACTAGAGTGACCAGGAAACTGCTTCGAAAAAGCAAAAGTGACTTATGAGGCTAATTAGGATGCCATGCCAGGAGGCCCCTGCCAGGAAATGGGGATGAGCACCAACTGCGAAGAACCTTTGTAAACTCAGATCAAGGTGTATTTATTGCATGGGTATAATAAATGAGCAAGGCATCTTCTTAAGCACTAGAACAATAATAGATGAGTAAGACACTGGTCTTGCTTTCAACAAGGTGACAGTCTAAAGGGGAGAAGGGCCAGGACAGGGACTCAGAAAACATAATGCCAAGTAGAATGTTATCGGTGCTCCCAGAGGTACAGCAAGACAATACTATGAGGAATCATGAGACAGGAAGAGCAAATCAAGTCATGAAGCTAAAAAAGGCCGATGTGGAAGAGCCGTGAGGCATGGAGGGGATTGTACCAGGCAATGACGGGAAGTAAGAAGAGAGACATTTCAAGGTGATATGATAAAGAACCATTAGGAGGTGGGGAGGCCCATGGTACAGTGAGTGGACCAAGAGGGTTCCAGCCAAGGGGGTGTGTGGACTGGGATGGGTGTGAAGAGACATGGCCAGAAAGTCTTGAAGTCACACTGAGGGGCCCTGAATGCCTGGCTGAGGCACTGACGCTCAGGGGAAGTCAGGGGAAGGTGCTTTCCTGGTGGGGGAGGAGGCAGTTTGGTTCTGGAGAGATCAATAGACCATTCAGGTTGCGCATCAGATTATCGGAAAATAGTGCCTGACTCCTCTCCTGAGAGCACAGAGACAGCAGAAGGTTCTGGTCATTACCTCAGAGGTTAGGGAATTAGGAAGAATGAAAGGGAAAGACTGGCCAAAGAGAACACGGCCATAAGGAAAAGACACAGACAACAGCCACCTGAGGAAGAAGTTTCAATAAATTATAGCCATGGTTGAGAAACCCAGCCTTGGAGAAGGAAATGTGAGTTTGAATCCCAGTGGTCTGACTGGTCGTGATTAGCAAAGGGGCTTCAGAGTTTTTGAGTCCGTTTCCTCATCTGTGATGTGAAGTGATTTCTAATTCAAACGGTTGAGAGCATTCGCTGAGATAAAGTCCAAGGCATGGGGTTTGCACACACTAGAGCCAAGCAGTGAGACGCGGCCAGCTAGAGAAGGAACTGGAAAGATTACGGGTATTCCCTAGGAGTGTCCCGAAATGGAGGCAGGGACCCTCAGGAAGCCCAAAGCCTTTCCTTTGGCCGTTTGCGCACTGCCCAGTGAGGCGAATGAGTGAGCGGGTCAAGGCAAGCTCAGCCTAGTCCCCGCCCCAAGGTACTGCTCTTTCGCCCAAGCCTCCTCCCTGCGGTGCCTCCCAACCTCCCCCAACTCCTGCTGCCCGCGCTGCTCCCACTCCGGCCAGGCGGAGGAGCCAGATGCGCATGCGCCCTGCTAAGCCCCTACCCAGCTTTCCACGTTTCGCTTCCCTCCCTTTGCCCTCTGCAGCTCCCTCTCCGCCGCCACGATTGGCCAGCCGACCTCCTCTCCTCAGCCAATAAACGCCGGCCTCTAGCCCCCGTGTTACTGGGTAGAACAAAACAAAAACAAACAGAGCGAGAGGGGCCAGAGACGCTCGGCGGCGGCGGTAGAGGCAGAGGAGGGGGCTGAGGCCGGCGGACCAGGGACCTGGGCAGGTGGTGTCGGCGGCGGTGGCCCGAGGGGTCAGTACCTGCGGCGCGGCTCGCACGCTCGGGAGAACTGCGCCCTCTCCCCCAGCCCGGGTCTCCTCGGAGGCAGCCGCACGTTGGGAGGGGGAGGGGGCGTGGAGGCCGGTCCGGTCCGCGTGGGTGCGACAGGGGTCTGGCCGCCTCCTCCGAGCCCCGCAGGCCTGGCCGCGCCCACCCCAACGCCCGGGCTGCGGAGAGCCGGCCCCGATTCTCTCCTTCTGGGCCCGGAGCGCGGCGGCGCCGGCCCACCCCCCGTTCCCTTCCCGTCCTAGCCGGGCGCGCGGGGCGAGCTTCGGCGAGGGGCTCCTCCTCGTCCCCGCGGAGGCCGAGGTTTCATTTTAATTTGGGTGGGGTGACGTTGGGAGGCGCGTTTCTGGCCTGACCGAAATCCTGTGAGGAAGGTTTGCACCCTCCCCGCCCCCCTGGCCTTCTTGGAGGCCCTCTGAAGAGGCGACCCCCGGCCCGGCCTACCCAGACTCGGGCCCTCGCCCGCCGCGCCCCGGAG